CCCCCCCCCCCCCCCCCTATTTTTTTTTTAAATTTTTAAATTATAAAATTGTAAATTTGCAATTGTTTAAAGAAAGAATGAAATAAAAAATCTAAAAATGTAGTTGTTATTTAAATATTGAAAATGAGTAATACACTAACTGAAGAACAATCACATTTAATATCCTGACGGTTCAAAAAAAAGCGACGAGGTAAAGAACCGTAAAGAAACCCTCGAAGGAGCTTATATATCGCTCACCTAAAAAAATTAATTACATATTTACAATTACATTAACTTTTTTTTAACTTTTTGCAGATTTTCAAATCAACAAAAAATAAATAAATAAAAAAAATAAAAATAAACCGGTACCGGAACCGGACCGGTACCGCCGGTACCGGTACCAAAAAATAGGTACCGGAACCGGTACCGAAAGTGGCAGTACCGGTACCGGTTCCCGGAACCGGTGACACGGCGACCTTGCCGGTGACGGTGGCGGGTACCGGCGGTACCGTTGCCGGTGACGGTACCGTACCGGTACCGTGTCCACCCCTAATCATACCATCTCAAACCATAATCCAAAGGATAAAACTCTTTGTACACTAGAGTTTTACACTCATTTCTTACACTTGATACACGAGATTTGCACGTGAAATAGACAAATCTCATCTGTTCGAGCGACATACAGACACGATTTGTTTGTTTCACATACAAATCTTGTGTGCAAAATGCAAAAAATGAGGGCGATATAATATTGATGTACTCCATAAAAACTTTGGGGTGTAAACCAAGCATTGTTCTAATCCAAACACAATAAGGCACAAAACATTTATGAAACAGTAAGCCATATGCATCAACTCCAATCACACAAATGTAGACAAAAACAAAAGAAAATTATAGTAATAATTGATGAACTTAAAGAAAAAAAGAAGCTTTATCAACCATAAACTCATTTCTTAGGTCAAAAACACAAGCACTTAGATCAAATGTCACAGAGTTGTGAAGCAAACCTTGTTCACGTCACACAGACACGGCTCTTCAAGCCATCTTGGGGACAACCGAGTTATAGTGCTCCCCGAGCCCATACGCATGCCGGTGGTATGACAACAAGATACTCTCCGGCGACGAGGCGGTCCCACTCTTTGGTTTATTTATATATTCCCTTCCCATCTCCACATCCGGAAATGACCCCGAATATATAACAACATGTTTCTTCAAGACATGAGTAAGGGCGCCGAGCTCAAGTTGACCTCCCCATGCCGCGGTTGACTCCACTTCCCCACAATAATCCTCAAACCTCTTGGTACCCGATTCGTCGCCCGAAGACAACCCGCCTTTCTCGGATAGGAAAAACGGAAGGTAATCCGATGAATGTTGCCTCAAGTAACCTGCTGCCAGCTGGCGTAATTCTAAGTAAGAGTAAGGAGAGGTGCCCTTTGAATGGAGGGATAACTGATCCTCAAGGGCTCGGTAGAGACAATGCCCGTCGGGCTTTATTTGTTTTACGGTTAGCCCGAGCGGTCCGAGTTTCTTTACCAGCTTTTCGTCCTCAATGGCCCGGTCGCTCTGAATATTACTCTGCTCTTCTTTTATCCTCTGCTCTCGGGCTGCTTCCTCTTGGGCCCGTTTTTCACGCCTCTTGACGCTCTTACTGGGCTTTGATTGGTCGGGTTGGGCCGTGTTGACGGATACACCCGCAATAGCATTGACTAAGTTGTCAAGGCTTCCTTTGTTGTCCTTATTGTTGGTGTTATTACCGTTATACCCCAGAGAAGCGAGTTCACGGGCATGTCCCTCTTTGAGCTCTGTTGAGAGTTTTGATATCTCTTCATCCACTTGTTTCTTTTTCGCTTTCTGCTCGGCCTTGCTTCCTTTTGCAGCTGCCTTTCTCATTGCAGTTTCCTTGTCTTGTAGCCTGGATATCTCTTTCCTGTGTACATATTGCAATAAAATGGCATTTGACAAGAATTAAATTTTCTTCATCTATTACAGGATATAGGCAGAGAGATTGTTTATCTGAACAAGCTCAGGAGCGCTTTCATTAGGTCCAAAACACTTTTACATGTAAAAAAATATGCTCAGTGACATTTGTTTTAGAGCATTTCAGAATTGTTTTTGGGATTTAATGCACGGTATTTTTTGGATATTCCGTCAAAATCACACTGTACCTTACCAAAACTTGATAAATGTAAATTGATCATACACAAGTTTTTCCTAGAGACGGAAGTACCCTTTTAGAAGAGCTGCTATTAGTAGAACCATTTTAATATAAAAAACGCATTTTCTTAAAACTGCGTCTAACAATTGCACACCCAAACAACTCATGATTAGGGATTCAGGATACAGAAGCAGCAATTTTTGGAAAGCAGAAAAGGATAGGAAAAAGAAAAAAATGCCGAAGAGAAAACTCCCTCTGTCCCAATTTAATGGTCCACTTTCGGTCTTCATTTGTCTAAATTAGTTGTCCACTTCCCATATTCAATAAAGAAATTATGATGAATTATACAAAACATCCTAGAGCATAACGTTGACATGAATGAACGAAAAAACCCATTTGAAGACTTACTTGACATTTTAAACTCATTCCTTAAAAATGATACTCCGTATCTTTTTAGAAAGCGGACGACTAATTCCCGCAAGGAAGGAGTGGCTTTTTATGTTTGATTTGATTTTAAACTTTAACAGAAGTTGAAATTTCTTAGTCTTTATAGTTTAAAATTTTAACCAAAATATGTTCAAAATATAATTTCAATTTTCCCTCACATTTTGTTTCATTCCACAGTATCCCTCTATACTCCTCCCAAACCTATTTCCCTAGCATTTTCCAGGTCTCATACAGACCCTAATTGTTGTATGACTAGTTTGGTACCTTGACATTTCAAAAAATTAATTATAACGAAGCTAAAAGAAGCACGGAAAAATCACAAAAATATTTTTTTAATCATCAACTAATATGGCATCATATACCAAACCTGTGCCTAGAAAGCATCTCCTCCAAGGTTTCTTGCTTCGCATCAGATGCACTTTCTGATGTGAACTCAGATGATTCATCTTCCTCTACTTTAAGCGGTTTCTCCATTTAGTTAGGTGAATCTAATGCCAAACCAAGAAAAAGTCAATCTCAAAAGAGCTCTTTACACACAATCTATATGTAAATTAGTAAACCGATAATTACATTAGTAAATCACATCAAAATTTATGCTTAAGGAAACCGATAATTACATTAGTGAATGGATCACATCAAAATTAACGCTTTAAATGTAATGTAGGAATACTATGCTACCAATTCGTAAGATTAAATATCTTGAATTCAAATTGTTACCCCTTCCACCCCATTTAGGCTCCGCATCGTAGCAAAATAATATACTAGCTTTTTTTACTAACTAATTTGGCCAAAAATGTAGTTCGTTTAACCCTTTTAGCCTTTCGCTTTCAGAAAATTCAGCGGATTTAGCAATTTCAACAAGAAAAACACAAAATAAACATGCACTCAGCATCTACGAAGTACGAATCTGGGATGTTTTTTACTCTCTAAGAAATCTCATATTCAAGAAATGACCTAAAAATGTCAAATGAGTCTTTCAAATAAATTTGTCACTCATTGGTGTAAACAATACCAATACCATATCTCAAGGATATCATAGACAATTCACAATAATTTCTTTATTTAATATGAAAAGAGGATAATCAATTCCAGACAAATAAAAACAAGAACATAGTCCACTAATTCCTGACAGAGGGAGTATGATATCTTTTGCATTCTAATGAATCAATTATTTTTAAAATCAATAAAATACATATCCATTAAAGTAATAACCCACTAATTTGAAAGGCACAAAGGCAAAACTTCAAAATTCGACAAAGGTAGCAGCAACACAACATAGGCCCTGTTTGGCTTTAGAGTTTTGAAAAAGCTATCTCTAAGTTTTCTGAATTAATCTAAACCGTTAATATTTTATACAAAATGCTAATTGAAAACACTCTTCACAAACAAGGCCATAAGAACTGTCAGCGCGAACCCTAATTTCTGTTTTTTGAGGTTTACATCCAAAAATCTAGGGTTTATGCTGCCATGGCCGAATTTGTTCCGGCAACAAAGAATTAAGGTGATCTAAAGAGAAGCTGAATTTGATAAAAAGGCCATAGAAGAAAAAACAGAAGAAAATGTTGAGAAAACAAACCTGAGCCGCCTGGCGTCACGTGTGCGTCTGCAGGGGGAGAAGTGGATAAGACTATGGGGTTATGGGCTGTTTGTTTCTGCCTCTTAATTGTTCAGATGTCTGAATGGTTCAGCACTTAATGGTTCAGACTGTTTGTTTCAGCCTCTTAATGGTTCAGATGTCTGAATGGTTAAGAGATTTGCCTCTGAATGATTAAGTATTACACAGAGTTTGAATGGTTAAGACCTCTTACCTGAATTGATCAGACATTTGCCTCTGAATAGTTAAGCAATATACTAACTCTTAGGGGGTGTTTGTTTTTCTGCCAGAAAACCTTCTGGCGTCTTTTGTCTGCGCCGCGCAGACGCGCGCAGATGATGGACTCTGCAGATTGTTTGTTTTTTGGAAGACATTTCACTCAAAAAGGTCTTTCTGGCATCTTCTTGGAGAAGACATTAACCAATGTCTTCTAACATCTTCTCCTTTTTTTTCTACTTCTCTTCACCACCACAACCGTCCACCGCCACCGTCCACCACCACCTCCGTCAACGTCCACCACCACCCTCCACCACCACCACAATCATCCATACACCACCACCATACACTACCACCATTAATTTATATAGCAGTCTACAGACATTAAAAAAACAAACAGTCTTCTTCTTGTAGGCCGCAGACCTTCGGTCCACCGCTTCTCCTGCAGATGTCTACAGTAGTGCTCCGCAGACCGCAGACCTTTTCATGCAGAAAAAACAAACACCCCCTTAATGGTTCAGACCTCTTACTGGTTCAGCACTTAATGGTTCAGACCTCTTACTGGTTCAGCACTTACCTATTCAGAAGTTGCCAAACAGCCCCTATATGTATTTGAGTTTAATTAGTAGGGGATAAAAAAAGATTTTAATATAAAATGAAAGTATCCAAAGATTCTTTTTACAATATTAAAGTAAGAGTGGAACATAAAAAACATACTCCGTATCAAAATTGAAATTTAACTTTTTTCTAAAATAGGGAATTAAAATGTATATATATAGTGTTAATCATAACTATATATATTATCAAAAAATATTGTAAATTGCCCATATATACCACATTACCACAGTGTGAACTCTTTTTTTAAAGATAAAAATATAAAATTCATATTTTGATATTTTTCAATGTTTTACTTCTATTGAGACTGATTTTTAAAAAATATATATTAATAGCTACAAAGTATGCCACCAATTTTACTTCCTCCTACAAAATAACTTTACTGTTATTATTTTGGAATCGAGATTTTTTTTATTTTTGTGTTTTTATTTATAATTTAATAGAATAAAATATTTTTGTCACATCATGTTATATAGAATTGTGGATATATTTTTGAAATACGCAACTCTCTTCGTCGAAAAATCCAATTACTATTACGATCCACCAATAACTTATCTTTGTATATATATATATTTTTATTGATGATATGATTTTAAAAAAGAAAAAAAACCCCTAAATAGGGGTAAAACATGTATCATATCCCAAAATAGTACTCAAAACTTAAACTCTCCTAAATAAGATCAGAGTTAAATTATTGAAATATAAAATCTATAAAATCTGTACACGCGTCCCAATTCTCAATTGACACTATTTTCCTTTCGCTCAACCCTAACCCTCTTCTTCTTCAATCAATTTTAATTATCGTCGCCAACCAATCACACCTCGTCACCGCCGCCGCCGCCAAATCACAACATCGTTGATGCTGCCGCCATGCACCCCTACCCATCTTAGACTCGTTGTCGCTTGCTCAATGCCGATCTCCTTTTTGCCGCCCACCCCTTCTTCAATAAATTACAATCGCTGCCGCCGTCACCCAATCGCAACGCCATCGCTGCCGCCAAGCACCCCACCCCTCTCAGATTCATCGCCGCACTCGTGTCACGCCACCCACTTTCGATCCATCTCTCTTCCTCAAAGCTTGATTTCAAAAGTGAGCTTTTTCTCCTTCGATCTTTAATTAAATTCTATTTTCTTTGAAAGTCTCGTTGGCAGTCGTGGAGGGCATTGGATTTGGGTTAGCATTATGTCATTGTGTAACATTGTGAAATTATATATAAGCATATGTGGCATTTAATATGGGCATCAATGGTATTGTATATTGTCATATGTGGCATTATATATTGTCATGTTTGGCATTATGTCTTTTTTGACATTGTATTGACTGTTAATGTGATACTGTGACGACGATGGTACAGATTTTGATGGTAGTGTCGTTGATAATGGTATAGAGTGATGATGTCATCGGCGGTGACGATGAAAAATCAAAGGCGTCAATGATAGGTTACGATAGCAGTGGTGCAGAGCAGAGGACGACGACGGTGGAGATTCAAGTGATAGTGGTAGGGTTGGCGAAAAGATCTTTATAAATATAGGGTTAGGGTTGGCGACGATTAAAAAAATAGCATTTTAAACATTGTTTTAAACATTGTTTGAAACGAAAAGATCTTTTATATAGGGTTAGGGTTGGCGACGATTAATTTTTTTTTCGTTTAAATTTTTTCCCCATTTTATAGTGTCGTTGATCCTCTTTTTTTTTTAATATTTTACTAAAAGTTCCGTGGTCCATTTCCATAAGATAAAGTATTTTCTACTCTTTTTTCCTTTTTCTTTTTTTCTTGACCATGGTAAAAAAAATAAAATAAGACAAAAACATTGAACAGTTATGTATAAATATAAAACGGAAAATATTAAAAGAGATAGAATGAAATACAGAAAAAAATATGAAATAGAAAAATTAGTGTGACATGTATTGTTTTTTTTCTTTCATGAACTTCATGTTTTTTTATTATGTATCTTGTGTACTTTTAAAAATTCATGTAATTTATGATTTTTTAACTTAATTGTTTTTTATGTGTTAAAAAATATCGGAAAAATAATTAATCCAAAATGGGGAAAAAATTAAAAATGAAATCAAATAAAATAACCCAAAAATAAATTTTTATTAATTAATATTATTATTTTTATAAAATAAAAAAATAAAAGTGTAACCATTGCAGTGGTGGTGAAGTATTGCAAGTGTGAAGTGAGTGGGATGGTGAGTACAGTAGGATTGGTGTGGCGCTGATTGGTTATTGATTTGAAGTGAGTGGTGGTGATGTACTAAAGATACACTAATACAAAATATATTAGAAGTGAACTATAAATCCATTAAAAACCAAGCCTAATATCAAGCCCAACACCTAATTTTGGGCTCATTCTTCATTTTTTTCTTTTTTGAAATCCATTCTTACATCATTTAGTTGGGATCCAATACATATAAGTTTTTTATTCCAATATTTCCATTCCAAAGTAATTGCAACATACTACCTCTATTCAGCGTCTTTGTTCAGTTTGACTTCTCGAGTCAAATTGAATTCATTTTAAATTTCAATTACTCTTAAGTTGTATGACATATTTACATACTGAAATACATCATAATTATTATCTAATTGAACCATCTAGACAAATAAACTAGATTAGAGGGAGTACTTCTTGAATATTTCTATTCCCAAATAATTGCAACATTTCATTTCCTTTCTTGCAATGCACAAATCAAATCAATTGGAAATAAAAATGAGACTATTAGGAATATATAATAGATGTATTAGGAAATAGTGAAATACGGAGTAGAATATTATTATTCATTACCTTCCTTATTACACTATTTCCATATTGTATTGTTACTATAAGTCTTCTCATATTTAGATTAGATTCTCTCTCTTAAATTTTTATATGTGGATGTATCATTCATTACTCAATAAGACTAATTATTATCAAATTTTATCATGGTATTGGTCTAATCGAAGCTAAGGTTTCAAAAACTCAGCCCTTCCTTTTTGGACTGCACACATCACCGATCTCTATTCACGATGGTCGACCGTCCGACAACATGACGTCACCATTCGATCTCGATCAGTGTACCTAACAACCGCCGTTCATGATCCCCTTCTTTCTCTCTAAAAAAATCATTATCTCTCTCTTTTCAAATAAAAATAATGTGCGTAATCAAAAAACGAGGAAGTTGCATTTATCTGTATTTTTTCAAGAGATCGAGAGCATGAAATGCGATAGAACAGCCCAAAAGGAGAAAAAAGAAATTATTCGCCCTCACTCCAATCGTCAACGCTCTCACCATAAAAAACTCTGAAAACGTAATCTCAAACTCGTTTGTCATGCAATAAAGATCAGACTCTCCACTTCTACAGGTTATCCTAACAAAACTGCTTCTGCCGACTCAATTATAGTACCTATGCTCCAAGTTGTTTCTCGTTACCGATGATCAGCTTGCGGGAAATATTAGGATTAATAGATGTATTAGAAATATAATATTATTATTCATTGCCTTTCTTATTACATTACATCTTAGATTAGAATTCTCATTTATAATTCTTATATATATATATATATATATCATTCATTATTTAATAAAATTAATTATTATCAAATTGTATCAGAAACAGACCAATAAAGGAGCATCATCTTTTTTTTCTTTTTCACTTTTAAATTTTCTTATAATTTATTATTGGTATATTCATCTAAACAATAATCATTTTCTTTCTATTTTCTCTAGTCTTCATTTTTTTCTATTTTCTTATCAAGAAAGGACAACTCTATCATATGGGGCCAATTCCGCAGCTCATACTCTAATATTTACACTCCCTTGTCCAATACGCTCTTTATCATCATTATCATTTCTCACTTAATAGTCGTATCCCATTTGTCTAACAGTTTCGTCTTCACACCAATCACACGTCCGATACGTGTCTATACTTCTAAACACCAATTAATTTATTAATGCACCCATTGATAATTAAATCGGTCCGGTTCTAGTGACACCGGAAAACGGTGCCACTAGATTTTTGGAGCACTTCCGGTGCTCCGTTCGTAAAATTGACGGTTTCTACCCCTTAAACCACTCCCTAAATCCCTCACCCTACCCCCACCCCAACCCCGCCGTAAGCCCCCCACAAAATGTGTGGCTATTATGCATAATAGCCACACATTTTGTGGGGGGCTTACGGCAGGGTTGGGGTGGAGGTGCATGGGTGGGAGTAGGGTGGGGGGTTTAGGGAGAGGATTAGGGGGGTAGGAACCGTCAATTTTACAAACGGAGCACCGGAAGTGCCCCAAAAATCCAGTGGCACCGGAGTG